CCTCCTCCTCTTAACTTTCCTATTTGTGTTTCGGGTATTTACCCCACGCCTTTGCATTAAGCCACGTCAACAGCCTTCTTTTATTCTGAGATGGGATCTCACTACGTCACTAAATTACCCAGGCTGGAATCGAACTTACAATCCTCCTGCCTCAGCCCCCAGAGAGCTGAGATTGTAGGCACGTGACCCTGCCCTCCCCGCCCCAAACTTGGCTTTCCCCTCCTTTCTGAAGATGAAGGATGAGGCTTATTTTGCCAGAAAAGAGCTCCGGGCTCCCCAAGCGAGGACAAGCGCGGTGTGTTCTTTCCCTCTGCGTAGGTGCGCTCACTCACGCCCAATCCGAAGCGCCAGCCCTTAGGTAGCGGATAACAGCAGTGGAGGTACATAGTCCCAAGAGCATAGAGAGATGATAGTAGGAGGTAGTAAAGTCTTAAAGAAGTGGGAAGATTTATGTGTGGATGGTCTCGTTTCTTAGCGTAACACCAGGGGTGATCAAAAGTGCGGTGGATGTTTAAATTTTAAAGATTTATCTGGGAAGGTGGCGGAGTGGTGCGCAGCGGAGAAACAGCCGCTCTGAGACTGTGTGTCCAGGCGCTGGAGTAGACCTGGAAGAGAAGAGGGAGCGAAGTGGGTCCCGGGGACCTTGCAAGGATCTGAAGCAAGAATTGAAGCTCCTGGGGAGGGTGAAGGGAGAGACCAAACGTGGAAGGAGGTAGCAAGCAGCGCTTCCGACTTGCTTCGTGGGAGGGCGGCTCAAACCTGCAGAGCTTTGGGGCTGGTGAGTTATTCAGGTTCAGATGTCCCCCAGGAGAGGGTGATTGGCTGGTCACCATCTTGGAGAGGGGCCACCTGAGCTCAGAACGCAGAGCAGGGGGCTGGTCTGGGCTGGTTCCACCTAGCAGCTTCCAGGGCCAGGGCGAGGTGGGACCAGGTGCCGCCAGCAGGAGGCTTCCAGCCTCAGGGCTGGACACCAACCCGAACTCCAATGTCATTCAAGGTGCAGTTTTGCTGGGATTATCCACTACCCTGCCATGAATCTAGGGCTGGCTTTAATCAACAGGGATCTGGGCTCTGTCTGCCCACTCTGCCAGTGACAATACGGGCATACCAGGAGATGAACCTTTTTTGGTAAATCTTTCCTTTTTCATTTTGTTTCTAGTCTTTCTTTCTTTCTTTTTTTTTTTTTTTTTTTCTTTCTTTCTTTCTTTCTTTCTTTTTTTTTTTTTTTTGTCTTTTGACACAGAGTCTCACTATGCACTTCAGGCTGGCCTTGAACTCACTTTGTAGCCCCGATTGGCCTCGAATTTACAACAATCCTCCTGCCTCAGCCTCTTGAGTGTTGCTGGGATTACAGGGGTGTGCCATCAGCCTCCCAAATTCTGCTGGGATTACAGGGATGCACCCCCACTCCTGGCATGTTGCTGTTCTGTGTTTGTTTTTATTTCTTCTCTCTCTGCCTCCTGTCTTCACCAGTTCCCCCAATTCCTGTGATCGTCCTTTGGCCTCAGCCTGGCTTCTTATCTCATCCTCTTCTTCTCTTTCTGTTTCTCCCCAACTGCTTTTCAGTTTTTTTCTCCTGAGGGTAAAATCACCATAGTGAGGGCATAGTTACTGCATAAAATTTTCTGGTTTTAGATTTTGTTATATAACCACAACAGTTACAGGTGGCAAATTTATTAATAGTTACCACAGTTTGTGGTTTTCAAGGCTGAGTTTGATGCTATCGTTATTGCTGGTTGTATTACTTTACCCAAACATAACTGTTCTAGTCGGTAGCTCTTCCTGGTAAGTCAAGGCTGAAACTACATAAGAGTAATGGACAATGCTACAGGCCAGGGCCAAAGAGCCAGGGGCCAAGCAAAACAGGCAGTGACTTCTCATTGTCATTAAAGTAAAAGGATAGGACGTTGCAGCATGCTCAAAACCCAGAGCCAGATACACCCAGAAGACTGTTCAACATCACTGGCCACTTGAGAGGTACAAATGAAACCAATGCTGAGACTCCATTTCACTTCAGAAAGAACGGCTGTTATCAAGAAATCAACCAGGGCCGGGGAGATAGCGCGGTAGAATACCTCTTGCCAGGCAAGCGCAAGGGCCTGAGTTCAATCCCTGGTTCCACAAAAAAAAAAAAAAAAAAAAAAAAAAAAAACCAATAACAAGTGCAGGGAAGGCTATAGAAGAAAAAGGAACCTTTCTCCATTGCTGGTGGGAACACAGACTGGGTTGACCCCTGTGAAGATCAGTGCAGAGAATTCCCAAAAAACTAAAGCTAGAGGTTCCATTTGACCCAGCTATTTCTTTTGTTGGTATCTTCCGGAAGGAATTAAAAAATCATACCATGGCAATATATGCATATATATATATAT